TCTTTATTTACTGTAAGAAGTGAGGAGAAAGGGGTTCAGTTCTCACCTCCCTGGGAGCTGCTCTAGTCCTCCAAGGTGACACTGTGGTTCCAGACCCTATTACTGAGCATGGAGCAGTTCACCTATTATTTAGCCAATAAGGTCTATGTTCCTCTGTGGATTTGAATCCTCCCCCTTTCCAAATGTCCTGGGCATGATTAGGATGCCCCAGGTCAAAGCAAAATATTTCACTCTACAATGGAAAATGTTGTTCAACTACAAACTGGAAAAATACATATATTTGTGTATTTTATATATAAAATGCGTGTGTGTATATGTGTGTGCATATGTATTTTAAAGACAAAAATACTGCTCTGTTTATTTCTCATTGCTATCCTCCCTCCTTAGTATCTGATCTGTATTTAATGCATTGATCAGACCCAGTTACACTTTCATGTAGAGCTTTATCCAACAAACACATCCAGGAGCAAAGAAATTTGGTTTGAAGTAGCATTGCGAAACTGGGCACAAGCTGAAGCCAGGAGTTTAAAACAGTACTGCTCCCTCTTGAGGGAGGCCTGTATGAACAAGCACCTTTGGAAGTGAAAGGAAACCTATAAAGCACAGATGTAAAGAGCTTTCTATCTAGAAATTTAAAATTTGGTCAAGTGTCTATCCACTGCTTAGAGCAGTAAGAACCCGAAACTTCCATCTAAACTCCACTGCAGCTGACCAAAACCTGCTCTTTTGTTCATCTTTTGATTTTAGGTCAAAAGGCTTTTTTAGTTTAGGCTGGAAAAGAAGTACATTTGGGCATTTCTACTGCCAGCAGGTCAACCAGAACTGCAGTTGTTTTATACTGGTGACCATTAGTCTGCATTAAGTAACATGTGTCTGGTACACGTAATCATAGTGAACAGACAAATGCACAAACTTAATAGTCAGAGCTTGCTAACAAGGGCCGAAGATGGCCCTTGTGAAAGTTTGAGGCTTGGCACATACTAATTTCCCCCCAAAAATGAGAAAGCCCTTCCATCCAGGCAGGTGTTACCATCTCTGCTCGCTCTCAGGCTCCTGGCATCTATCTCCAAAGCAGCTGGACCTTAATTTGTTGGCAGGAAGGCACTAGAATAAATATATGACTTCTCCCATGTGGTATCACATTAGATACTGCCTAAGCTCTTGCGTGTATTCCGGCTAGTGATTTCACAGTCAGTCGGTTCTGCAAGAACTTCTTCACAGGCATGGAAAATTGTGTCCCTTTTCTGTCAGTGCAGACCATGAACATTGCTGTTACGTGGCTGAAGGGCTCTTACATAGGTGCAGTTCAGTCCCAGAAAGTCACCAGGGCTGCAAATGAAACACAGCAGAGGAAGAGTTTGGCAAAGACTGACCATGCATAGGTGGATCTGGGGCAACCTGGGCAACAAGAACATCAACAAAAATTGTCATACTGTCCCCAGTAACACAAGCTAACCACTTGTTTAACAACGGAGCTCCCAGCTCAGACCAGTTCATGTTCCACACACCGGATCCAGCCCACACAATAACTCCATCCAGCACCTTGCCTTTCTGCTGTGGCCTTCAAGCGGGACAGCATGTTTCAGAGCTTTGTGTTGAAGCCCATCAGCAAAACCCCCAGGCACACAGACCTGCAACAAAGCCCCTGGAGGTGACTCAAAATAGTTACTCAAACTCTAGCAAGCAACACCCAGCTAATTTATGGTCTAACTAACATTTTTAAAGCTGTGTTTTACACAACCTGCACTTGGTTAAAGCCACCCAGTGAAAGGAGGAAAATGTCTGCCCCATTGCAGAGTCTGACGCAACCCGGACTGGAGCCAAATGAGAACCAGGACTGTGCAAGTATTCAGCCACATTTTATTGCAGTCCCCACTGCAGTTGGTGTAAAAGGCCATGACATTTCAGGGCTTAATCAATGCATCAATATGGCCAGTAAATGGCAAGGAGAGTTTGTATTTATCTTGCTATTCCAAGACTGCTCATAAAGCTGAGTTCACAAGCCCGGAAAGGAGCCTGCATTACCCCCGGTGACTGGGAAGGAATTCTGCGTTGGCTTCCCATAGGCTTGGCCACTGAGAGAACAGGAAAAGACAGTAAGAGGGTAAGCAAAAGTAAAGTAAGATAAAGCCAAAAGTAAGCCCTACAAATCTAGCAGACCAATCTCAGCTCATAAATACAACCTACCAAGTGGACATGCTGAACAGCCTTTTGCCTGACAGAGGCAGACTGATAAACTCTTAGTATAAAAATACCATGATGTTTTCACAGGAAAAACAATTTATTTTGACATCTGTTTTGCCTACATGAAAGCATGGTGGAAATTTCAGCACCAAGACATTAATCTAGACATTGCTGTTTCAAGAGCCGGTGATTATTTGAATTGTCGGTGTAAGCCATTTGGTCCCCACTGTGTCTAGAGCTAGGAATCCACAGACAGTGGTTTGCCTGTTGCTGAAGTTTAGCCAACAAGACAGTTTTGCTGGGGTGGTAGCTGTAAACTTAGGCAGGTGATGCGGACAGGAAGGATATCTTCTGATGATGAGATAGTTTAGAAAAATTGACAAGAAGAAAGAAAATGCAAAGGTTGATGGGGGGAAAAAAACAGAAAAAGGAAAAGGAAAAGAAAAAGAAAAAGAAAAAGAAAAAGAAAAAGAAAAAGGAGAAGGAGAAGAAGAAGGAGAAGGAAGGAGAAGGAGAAGGAAAAGGAGAAGGAAGGAAAAGGAGAAGGAAAAGGAGAAGGAGAAAGAGAAGGAGAAGGAAAAAAGAAAAAGACTGGTGCTATGCAGAAATTCACAGCAGGACCCATGAGAGGCAGGGTACTGTAAGGAGAATTAAAATGTGATGTGCAAGCGGGGTAGACTCAGGGTGTGTTTTTCCAAAAGCCCTTGCATTTCTTAGCCCATGTGAAGAGTAATGGTAGGTCACCACTAGCCTCTTTATTCCCCCCTCAGCACTCCCCAGAGGTCACAGAGGTCCCCAGAGCCAAAATGAACCGTACAAACTATCAATAACTATTCGGTGTGTGGCTCCACAGACCTGTTGCAAAATACCCACCGTGACTTCATGGACCACTGAGCACAGGTAATAGTTTAGGAGCTGTTGCAGCACATCCTTCTGGCAAAGCAAAGCGCACCAGAGACAGACTGGACCTCTATCCAAACTCCAAACCATATTAACTACTGCAGCACTTTTTATCTACACCAGGGCTTTTTGCCAGTGTAGCTCTGTCAGATGCCACCAAGAGATGGGCCAGCAAAGCTTCACAGCAGCCTGAGCCTGGACAGAGTGCATTTCAGTGTTCAGACTCTTAGGTTTTTAAAAACACTGAATACCTGAGCTGATCTTTTGCAAGCAGCTCAGTTCGTCTGCGCTCTGGACTAGCCAGCGTGAGAGGCAAAGCTGAGTAACTATGTCCGTACTGACATATGGCAAATGTCACTTCATATTCACCATACACATTACACCACTTGCACCTCCATGCACCCCACGGCCACACGGTTGCCACATGAGCATCCTGCTTTGGAGGTGCTCTGCAGACTCCATACAAATTCAACCAAGGACTGACAGTGCGACTGATGTTCATGGGCAGTCCTAAACACCACCTTGGCCAGCTGACCGCTAACACATGGCTAACACATCGCAGCTGGAAAATTGCCTTCAGCTGAAGCTACATCTTCCCACAGCTGGTCCTTGAGCTGAGTAAAATCAGCAGAACAGGTCTGGCTCCCGAGTAATCAGTCTGTCCAGTCACGCTGACAGAGACTTCAAGTCTAAGAGGTTTCAAACAGAACATTGTTCCCCAGTGCAGGAGTGATTAACTTCTATAAACTGGTAGGTTCTTTTCTCCTACAAAAGTCTTATCCCTTTAAAAAAAATCAGCAAGAATCTGTGTGATGTTTTCAAGCCTCCTCTTTGCCAAAAGTAACTACTAAACTTTTCCGGCCCTCGTTAATGGCAAGTTGTGATCAGCTGATGGGCACCACTCTTAGCCCCCTTCCACCCAAGCCATAGCTCCATGCTCATTCCAACCATTTGCCCTCGTGCTTTAAAACAAGTCCATGGGCTGTGAGAACACCCTTCTTTTGAGTGACTTTCCTGATGAATGTTTAAAATCTTCCTGTTGACTAATGGATGGAACTGGATTCCCCTCCTTTCTTTCCAGTTGAGAAGTAACGATTTAAGCAATTTAACTGGTTAACTAACTGTCATTAACACAAATCATATCCTTTATGCAAAATAACACTGATTACAGAGATCAGCTAATAATGGGGTTCATCTAAGAAAATGAGAAAACATTTTCATCAATGTCAATGGGCTCAAAATGAAGTTCAAAGGGAGTTCTTCTAGAGGAGTAAACGTGCTGAGTGTGATCAATAAACTAAGCTATGCCTGCCTTCATTTGCAACAGAATCTGTTCAACATCCCTGCAAATATTAGTGCTCCTCTTCCTCCCCATCCTTTGGAGCATACACCGCAGAGCCCCACGTTAAGCACTGCCACTTGACCTGCGATTGCATGACACAGGACAGGTTGCCCAAGAGGCAGCGCGTCTCCACTGAGACCCACCAAACATCAACCACTGCGGAATGCTTCACCATTTCACAGGCTGGAAGAAATAAAATAATAGAGAAACCCTCTCAATGATCTATGACAAACCTACCCCAGTGCTCAGGGTGGGGAGGCAGGAATCCTGTGCTTTCAAGTCCTAGCACCTCATGCTACCAGCCTATGGCTGCAGAGACAGAAGTAAATGTCCTCTGCTCTCCAGGTCCCTGTTAGCAGCGCTGTGTAGCTCAGCTATCTTGGCTGTCTGTGAAGAAATAAGAGCTTGGCATAAAGCATTTGCTTCTGTCGTGACTTTAGGTTGCCTTCAATATGGGTTAAATCTAAGTGCTCGGTTTAGGATGCGTATTGTAAGACACGAACTTATGTATCTCACACAGGGGTGTATTGGTATTTTAGAATTAAAATACAATAAAAATGAGTCCACTGGCTAGTGCGTAAACAACATCTCTTGTTTCTCTCTTCCAGTAACTGTGACTGTGGGAGGACAACAGCACTTGCTGGGACTTTATGACACTGCAGGGCAGGTAAATTACAGCAAAACATTCATAATTTTCCTTTCCCATGGTTTGTTACTACCATATACTGGGGTTTGTTGTTCATGCTGTTGCGGGGGGTAGAAATATTAAAAATCACTTGTGAGTGGTAATGGTTAAACTGCTGACCTTCTCTTTTTTGTTTTCTACATAAAGCTTTCATTCTGGTTCAGCAATAAAACACACAGAAATACACTCATCCCTAAGACTGAATTTTGTCTAAGCAAAAAACTAAAGCCTGATTAGGCTGTTCAGCCTCCCATATATCCACCTCCTACTGCAAATATGACGTTTCATATAAAGTCAGTGTTTTCTTACATTTACCACATGGTGGCATTGGAGATACAGAGAAATCCCATTTCCAAGCTCAGAAAATTTATATAATACAGCACCAGCCTATTGGTCACCAGCTGTTGACTTTTTAAATGGTAACCCAGCCAGACTGGCATTCATCCCAAAATCCTTCTCCCAGGACAAGGGGGTCCATTACAGGAGAGTCTGTACCCCATGCTTACTTACATATATAATGCTTTTACTCTTTTCACTGTCCACGGTCCGATACAGTGTGCTTGCACAAAAAGTTTGGGGAGGAGCTCTGGTCTGTGGGCTGATTTCACCCACGGGAGAGGAAGAGAATTGCTCACTGCCTTGCTCTGCCAGTAGAAGGGCAGAAAAGGTGCAGGGAGCAACACATTTTCATGGTGAAATTTTCTCTCTCCTACCTCCAAATGCCAGCAACTGGCAGAATAAAAAGAGGACCACCATCCGCTCAGAAGCTTTGCAGAAGAGCACCTGCCGAGAGGGGAGGGAGCAGGTCCCAGGTCTCTCCCAGCCTGGGAGGGCTGGAACCCACATTCACCAGCTCCCCCAGTCAGAGCTGGCACTGGGCAGCCAAGGACCTGCTCTCACTGGAGGCAGCAGGAGAGGGAAGCAGATTTGGGAGCCTGCTTCACTCTCTGAGAGCCAGCAGCCCTGAATGCAGGTCTTTGCTTCCAGGAGCATTTCTTGGCTGTGCCTTTTTTGGCCATGACTGGCTGCTATGAAATGCATAAACGATGCAGAAGAAGACCCCTTTCCTGCCTGCAGAAGGCCAGATATTACAGAACACACTTCGCAGCGGTATGCAGAGAGGTCAAAAACTGCATCAGGAGAGACTGTCACTTCCAGAAAAACCTACACTCAGCAGCACTGGGGCTTTTATGCTTGGGGTTTGGCTTTTTTTCATTTTATTCTTATCACATGTTTGTAGGAAGCAACGGTCATTCATAGCTAGCTTGGTGTCACTTACAGCCCACCTATCCTTTCTATTTACATGGTGCAAACAGATGATCCAAAAGCCAGTCCCAAACTACCACCCGAGTCCTTGTCCCATGGTCAATGCATGTTCAATTTTCTATTCTGTGCTCACAAACACAGAGCTCAGAGCGTGTCTGCCGCGATCCGGCAGCACTGCAAGCCTTTGCAAATGAGACTGGAGTTATATTCGGTTCTCAGGCAGATTTTACACACTGCCTGAATATTTCTGCTTGTTTTGTAGAGCTGACAGTTCCACCTGACAGCCATTTCCTCAGCAACACATCCTCTTATTTGTCCTGCTGATCCCAAAGAAAAACAAATCTCCCTCTCTGACAAACTTCACCCCTCCATCCATTCCTCCACAATCATTTTGCCATCTTCTGCTTCAAACTAGCCAGAGCACCACCTGCTTCCAAGCACCATTCCTAACTCATCAGGCTCATTTCCCGTTCAGACCTTGGTCCAGAGGACGTGGCCATCTAGTCAGAACTGAGAGCGTGAATCACTTCTTGATGACTAGATTGTATCTCTGTGGAGGCTGAAAGGATGATGCTTCCCACATGCTCAAGCTATAACGACAGATCATCTGGGTTGTTTCCTCCCGCCTTCTCCTTGTGTTGTGTGGCTTTCCAAAGGCATTGGTGTGAAGTCATAGCCAAAAATAGCACTTGACATTACGGTGCTATAAAACATATACTAATGAAATAACAATTGGAAAATGTGCTCCTGCAGCAGGACCCTCTGTCAGCCTGAAGGGAGAGCTGGCAGAGACCCAGATCTGGGTATCTGGTTTTCTGCATCCCTGGCACACACATTCCTAGGAGGGAAAAAACGGTAGTCCTAGCTGGATTTGGGTGTGGAGCGCTTTAACTGGCTGGCATGGCAGGGAGCGTACATGAGATCAGCGCGGCAGCAACATAAAAAAGCAAGTTTTGCTGTTCTTTCTGGGCCCGAGCCCTGCAAAGCCTCTGGCGGCAAGAGAGGAGGGAGGGAGCAGCCCCGGCTGATGCCTCTCAGCCCCGGCATGTCACAGGCACGTAACTCAGCAAGGCCAGGTCCGGTGCTGGCATTTCCATGCCAAACCAGTGGCCAGGCAGTGTAACTGGGAAGCCTTGCACTCGCTAAATAACAGGCAAGCATGAGCCAGGGAAACAAATTAATGATCAGCTACAGCCCAAGCCCATGAGGACTCATGTCCCTTCCCAAACACCACTGTCACCAGCTGCAGCACCTCTGGGTATGCCCCATGCCCATGCTAATGTCCAGTCCTTTTTTACTCTATTTATTTGCTTGACTTCAACAACAAGCTGTCTCTGAATGAGAAATGATCCCAACGTGCCATGTTTCGTAACGGTCCGTTGCAAGGTTTTACAGCCTACTCCTAGAGAGCAGGTATGAAGAGACACAGGGTCCTTGTCTGATGAGGTCTGGAAGCTCCTGCCAGCCCGCAAAGACAGGGAAATGCAGGAGCTCTGGGCGACTCTTACCCACAACACCTGTGCTTGTGCTTTAACACGTCCGTGCAAGCTCCCATGTGCCCTGATGGGAGATGAGACCTCTGCTATACGATGCCTGGCTGTCCCTCCTTACGCTTTATATAAAGATCTGTGATGCTAACACAACTGGGAATGCTCCTCCTGAAAAAGGATTTTCTAGGGGCTCCAAAGGAACAAGCGAAATAAAATGAAATGCACACTCCTGCAGCTGTCACTGCAGAGCACTCGTAGTTTTTATTTATAATTTTAAGAGTATGGTAAGTTCCAGCCCCTCTAAATATGAATATCTGGAATATTGAAACTGGTCATATTTAGCCAATTTCTTTCAAAAAATCCTAAATCACGATTCCTTGAGGGCTTGCTGCCACCACGTGGGTGTTTCAGGAGGCTGGTGTGCAGCAATTAAACCAAAAACACAGAAAAATGCCTTTGCCAAGCACCTAGTATCAGCCCATGTTGACTGTGGCATAGTAATCAGAGAAGTCATTAGGTTTGATGTTCCAGGTTAAAATAAAGTCCCACAATCACACAGGCATCAGGCCAGGCCTCCCCCACCCACAGCATCCGCAAAAAACTCATCTATAATGCAATTGCTCCTTTGCTCCATCATGTTGGCATCCACTTTGCCTCTAGTAACTCATTCGTGGGGGCTAGGTCATCTCCAGACCCTCATATAAATCTCCTCCCAATGACTTTGCTTCTTCATGCCCTGTATCACTGATGTTCCCACAAATGTCTCTGAGTTTCCTACCATTTTCCTACCATTCTTTGAACATGGAGAATCCACTCTTTCTTGGTCCGGTATGTCCAAATACCTCCTCTCGTCACGTAAATCCTTCTTCAGATCAATACTTTCTATGATACTGGAAAGACATAGGTCAGTTGACAAATACTCTGGCTTTATTCCAAACACTGTGGCTGTGTGGCTGGAGGTGGTAACTGGGAATTTACTCTTCCTGTTGAAGAAGATTTTGGACAATGAACATCCAGTTAGGCAAAACAAAATATTTTGTTTGGTTGTGGTTTACGAAATTTCTTTAAACTTCTTTTTAATGAGACAGAGCTAAATTTGGCCTCATACTTCCTTTCAGAGTAAATAATTACATTTTTTTGTTTAGAAAAGCTTGGAGCAGACTGTTTTTACATAATCCATCACTATTTTTCTGAAACTAGTGTAGATTCAGAAGTAATCCATGTCATCTTATCACTGATGAACAAAGTGAACAAAAGACTTCAGAAAGAAGATATACCAATCTCAATTCATAATTTAGCCCTCTCACTTGTTGATCCAACCAAAGCCAGACAGAAGCAAGACTGAATTAAGGCACCATCTGATCTGGGCACAGGGTGATATAGACGTGCAGGACAGACAGTGGTTGCATTGCTCCTGCCCCTAATGTGGATTTTCCCTACCCCAAATAAAGGTTCTCAAGTCTGAGCAACAGCACCTGGATATTTTTTTTTTCTTTTCATTGACTTATTAACTATTTCAGTACCTGCAAAGCAGAACTGCCCCAGTTGAAGTTTCAGACAATATAGCCAAAAAAGACCATACTGCAGAGATTTGAGGCTTGTCCAGAATGCAGAAACTGTAAACTAAAGACCTAGGTCTCAGTCAAGCTTGGCAGCAACATGTATTGTCATTTCTCACTCTCTAATGTTGTGTTCCTTTCCCTTTTTTAATTCTGGACCCCCAAAAAAGTCTTCAGAACAGGTGTATCCCCTCTAAAAACATCTGTTTCTTTGTACTGAAATTTTCTAACAGGTTTCATTGGAAATTACCAACCAGACACAGCTACCTATGTTCTCACTGTCAGAAAGACCCAGTCTATCCCTTTCACATGGTTTGCAAAACCTCTGCTCACTCTCAACATCTCAAGCCTGAAAAAAGACTGAAATTCTTCCTTGAAAGTCCGCTATCAAAGCCAGCTCATGACATGACACAGTTGTGCTTTAAGCTGTTTGAAAATTCACCTGCTTCACAACTAGCACAAGGAGAAGACATCTCTTCTTCCCCAGTCCAGGGCCTGTGGAAACACTAGATCACCCCCAGTATTCACCCATCCACTGCAGGCTGGACTTGATCTGCTTTGTGCTTGCAAGACGAGTGTCTTCTGCTGACTGATTGCTGCGTACCATACATGACTGTGATGGCACCAAATAGCCTGGAGACCCATATTTGTTGTATATGGTCATGTCTATAATGCCTACTGTAGAATAGAAAGCCCATAATATTAACAGAAAAGCTCCTAGAGATGTGTATCATCAGCAAATATTAGCTAGTGGTGACAGTCAAATAATATTCCCCAGGATGGTATCACATTGCAGGAGGGCTGAGGCCACTACACGCAGCCTCAAAATCCATTTTTATTACACCACCAGTGATGGCCGCTGTTTAGCATTGCCCTCTACACCAGCATCACCATGGATGATACACACACAAACAAAATGTGTTAGCTCTTTTGGGTAAAGAAGCTAGCAAAAACAACAGCCCTGGCCCACGAGATGTGACTCTGCTCAGCAGCTCCCTAGAGGTTATGAGCGCGCATGAGCGCGGAGGGACAGTGTTGAGCCAACGTGATGCCCCCATCTGCAGTTATCCCCCACCCCATAACACACTTGCTGTTTCCCCCCTGGCAGGAGGACTACAACCAGCTGAGACCCCTGTCCTACCCCAACACGGATGTGTTCTTGATCTGCTTCTCGGTGGTGAACCCCGCCTCGTACCACAACGTCCAGGAGGAGTGGGTGCCCGAGCTGAAAGTCTGCATGCCCAACGTGCCTTACGTCCTCATAGGAACACAGGTAATGCTCCTCCAGGACACCGCTGGCCATTGTGGGGGTCTTCAGAGTGAGGGGGCTCCTACTCCACCCTAGGCGTGGCTGGAGGCTGAGCTCTCTGGAAAGGTTTCCTATTTAACTTTTGTGAAATGCAGCCAGACTTCTCCATTGGAGGGAAAACTCAGGGACTGGGAATGGAAACCAACATGCAGATGTCCCATCATGCTAGTCACAACTGGCAAAACTCATCCCCATTTTTACTCAAATGAATATCAGTGTGGTACCAAGGCATAAATACCTATAGGGAGAAAATATTTCTGACAGGCCTTTAGTGAAGGAAAATAAAAACATCATACTCTGTGGTCTTCTAAGCAGAAGCTAAACTTCAAACTAAATTTTAAGAATGGGAATAAGTAACCAAATGAATAACTTAGAGACATGGGAAGGAAATAGCCTCCCATCATGCTTTTACATCAATGTTGCAATTAGTGACTCACCATCCTGTTTGTGTTATAGTGGAGGTTAGACTAAATGATCAAACCACTTTATTTTGGCCTTAAAAATCTATGAATTTATCAATCAAATAAAAATGCCTTAAATATGGGTTTGCTTCCAAGACAAAGAGTGGCTAGACACTGTGAGAAGTAGGGGTATGACCATCTGGAAAATGTCCGAACACCGGATGGTTACCTAAGCCAAGTTAGAGAAACAGATCAAATTCTGGTCAAAACCAAAATCTTCATGCCATAGCGAAGTCAAATCGGTCAAGCACCTGCTTTGTGTTCCACACTGGAATACCATACTAAAATACCCATTTTAAAATGAAAGTATTACCCTTTGGATCATACACTCTGAAAATGGGTTTGTGATGCCAGAATGCTTCACTTTGATGTTTTCCATGGAAATAAAGGATTTTGTTTCAAGTCAGTCAGACTGAGCTGCATCTGTCTGGCCTGTCAGGGTGTTTTTCAGGTGATGCAGTGCAGGGTCACAGCAGCTTCCCCTTCCAATGTGGCTCAAGCTTCCACCGACACTTTCCAAGATGCATTGTGAGAGCCACTGAGGACCACATCTTCACTGTACTGCAGCTATCTGAGCTGTGGCCCAATAACCTGCCAATGAGAACTAATTAATATTAAACAGAAAAAAAGAAAAAGAAAGAAGAAAAAAAAAAGGAAAATATGTGCAATTAATTTCTGAAGCATCATCGGAGGTGTGGAGGACAGACGCCCTTATGCAAGGACATGACTGTGGGTTTGTAAAGATATGAATATCTGTCTCAAGAATTACAGCAAGGCAGTATTGAGCACAGGGTTTGTGTATTTTCTACTAGATTGATCTCCGGGATGATCCCAAAACTTTGGCTCGGCTGCTTTACATGAAGGAGAAACCACTCACCTATGAGCACGGAGTGAAGCTAGCAAAGGAGGTAATGGCTTTTTCTGAGGTCCCATGAAATTGATTGATCACAGCTTTCCATTGGGTTTCTTTCATCCAAGGTGGACTCCTTCAGGATGCGTTGGTTGGTCCCAGCCAGAGATTAAAACCTCTGTTCAAACAGGCTGGACCCAGACTCCCAAGCCTGCTGTTCTGCTGCAACACCCGGCTGAGCTCTCAGCAAAGCAGCAAGGTGCAACAGGACAGCAATTGGCAAATGGGCAGAAAAACAGATCTTACTGCCTATTTTACCTAAGTCAGTCAAGTGTTTCTTGTTCAGGCTTCTGCCAGGAGGTGCATGTGGCAAACACCTCCCTGCAGTCACCTCTTTCCAAACTGTCCCTTAAAAAAGCACAACTTGATGTTCATTTATCCATTGCACTTCAAGCAGATCAGAAGAAGGTCCCAAGGTTTCTATGCTATTGAACCTTTCTCCTGGGACGGTGAGGGGATAAAAGCCCTCCTCAAGCCTTGAAGTGCAGGCATCTGGACCCCAGCCATTTCCACCTTACATGCTGCAGGTGCCCTTACAGACCCTGGACCTCGAAGGCCAGCGAAAGCATCCACTAGCAAAATAAGCTGAATAAGCAACAACGTTTCTGAATAAGCTGAGGTTGCTTTCCCAGGCCACTGTGTGTGTTTTTGTCATACCAGCACCTCCAGGAGGCTCCCATCCCAAGATAACGCTTCCCACTTCCCAGAAACCAGCTGGAAGCCCTCCCCCAGGTAGCAGCTCCCTGGTGTTGCAGGAGGTAGGACATGAGTGACAGGTCAGGGGAGAAGAGCCAAGTATATGAACAGGTTCAGCTAACAGCCCAGCATCTCCTTGAACCCCGCCCCCGCTGCACCGACAGGAGGTCAAGCTCCTGCACCGGCACTCAAACATGGGTGCAGCCCCCCTCTCTCTGGAGAGTCACGCAGGGAATCCCTACTCCCCATTACCCTCTGTGGTGAGGTACCGGTGTTGATGCTCATCCCTGCTCCCTTGCTCAGGATGACCACCTGAGCTTGTTCCCTTAATCCCAAAGGCATCCAGACACAAAACAAAACAATGACCTGACCCCCTTTCTAAGGGTCTGGGCTTCCCTCTGTGGCAGGACACATATGCATGCAGAAGGATGCTGGAACAGGGTCGCTCTGTCTTTCCCAACAGTAGGTACTCACGTTTTCTCTCTTCTCTTTCAGATCGGAGCACAGTGCTATCTGGAGTGCTCGGCTCTCACACAGAAAGGCCTTAAGACTGTCTTTGATGAGGCAATCCTGACCATTTTCCACCCCAAGAAGAAGAAGAAGCGTTGTGCAAAGTGCCACAGCTGCTGCACCCTTGTGTGAAGTCACTTGGAAAGAAAACCAAGATGAGTCCAATGAAACCAAGCAGGTTAGAAAGGCAATGAAGGTCACATGCAACTGAAATGGGGAACATGACCAGAAAGGGGTCCTTCTTACCCAAATATAGGAGCCCTCTGTTCTGTGAAACCTCCAAGCTGTATCACAGTAGGCCAACTCATGTCTATGTGCTTTCCTAATCCTCCAGAGTTGTATGCAGCCTGTTCCCACTACTGCAGACTGCACTGAGCCAACAGAAACCAGGATGCCTGCTCCTGCTTGACTCTTCACCTTAGGAATAAGGTGAAGGTGATGTGTGGAAAAACAAAGAACTAAAGGTGGTAAAAGAAACAAGAGAAACTCCATTTGTGGCCTTAAGCACAATCAAAATTAGGAATTTGCAGTACTTAGGAATTTAATCTGAATTGACTGAAAGCACATGGAGATCTGTAGAAATCTATTATGTAAGATATACACGATAGGTAAGATGTACTTTTAAATTACTTTCCTTTTGTAAGACTCACTAGTTCAGGATATACTTTGGTTTGTTCAAACTACATGGAAGCAAAGGTGGAGCGATTCCAGCTTGTTTTCACTTAATGGTGAAACTTCACAGCATCAGCGTGTTGCTGCACCCAAGCTATCAAAATGGATCAACATTTACCTCCAGACTTAAGGAATGTTCTTACAACAAAAAAATGCAAATAACTGTATTTTAACAGGGGAATGTTCAGGCTGAGCCACGTTTCCATAAACTGGGAAAGGAAGAACAGAGTTATAGCATTAATGTATTGAAACAAAGAAATTCTGCCACCAAAGAATATTGCCCTAGACGTAAAACCGCAGCATGGAACAATCTCTCTTCCAAACTGAGAACATCCACAAGACATATTGCCATGGCAACTGAAAATTTACCTTATAGATCAGCTGGATTTCTACATCTCACCCAGCAGATGAAAATAGCAAAAAACAAAAAGCCAAAGGTCACACTGACTTCAAGAGCTTTAAGGTGATCCAATTGCCTTAAGATATTTTTTTTAAAGGAGTATCTCGTGTAAAAAACCTCATCAAAGTGGAGTTGCAAACATGTTGATTTATTGTAGTCTCCCTCCCCCCGTTCATTACTTCTTTCTTTGCTCCTGTTTTACCATCTCCATTACTGTGCGTGCTGTTGGAGCTGCAGCGTGGCCGCCGTCCTCGGGAGTG